GTGTTTAAAACTTTAATGTCCAGAATGAGGCAAGAATATTTACTATCTATATCACCACTTCAGTTTAACATGCATCAGAAGTCCTAGCTAGTGCTAAATAGTAAAAAAAAAGGGAAGAAAAGTTATAATTGGAAAGGAAGATGTCATTCTCAGTCAATATATGTATGTATAGAAAATTTCCCCCCAAATCAGTAACTAAATTATTATAATTAGTAAGAAAATTTTGCAAAGCTGCTGGATACATGGTTTGTTTACAAAAATCAATTGTATTTTTGTATGCCAGCAATTAAAATGCCAGCTAAGTATTAGTTAAAAGAGGAAAAACATAAAGGATACTACCACAAAAAAACATCAGAAGCATATTACCTAAGAATAAGTCTATGGGAAGAAGTTTGATACCTCTACACAGAAAATTATAAAATATTTTTGCACAAAATTTTAAAGGACCTAAACAAAAGGCATTATTTTGCATATTCAGGATTGTAAGAATGTCATTTCTTCATAAACCGATTATGTTTAATTCCTATAGCCATTAGCTACAACTGGCTATTGAGCAATTGAAATGTGGCTACTCCGAATTGAGCCATGTCATAAGTATGCAATATACATGGAATTTAAAGACTTAGTGTGATGAAAAGAATGCCAAATACCCTAATAATTTTAAAATATCAATTATTCCTTGAGGTGATAATATTTTGGAGATGTTAAATTAAAATACATTTTAAAAATTTGTTTCACAAGATTTTACTTTTTCAGTACAGCTTCTAGAAAATATTAAATTAACGTGTGTAACTTGCATTTGTGGCTCACGTTATATTTCTGTTGGATAACACTGGATTATAGATTCAGTGCCATCCCAGTCACAATGCAAAGGACTGTATGTGTTTGCAGAAGCTGCTAAGCCAATTCTAAAATATATATGGATATACAAAGGGCTGAGAATAGCCAAGACACTCTTGAAGAAGGATGAGACAAGATGACTTGCTCTACCATAGGATCTCTTCAACTTTGGCATCACTGACATTTTAGGCTGGACTATTCTTTGCAGAAAAATGGTGAGGGAGAATATCCTAGCATTGTATGCTATTCAACAGCAGCCCTGGTCTTTACCCAACTAGTAGGTGTCAGTTGCAACCCCTACCCTCTCACCCCCATTTGTGAAAACCAAAAAATTTTCTCAAGATACAGCCAAATGTCCCCTGTGGTACAAAGTTGCCTCTAGTTGAGAACCACCAACTCTACTGGATGTCAGTTCTTAGTATAAAGCAAACAGTAATCAAAGCAGTGTGTTATTGGGATGCGGATAAACAATTAGATCAGTGGAACAGAATAGGGGGAAAAAATTACAACAGAAGTAGGCCCTCACATAAATAGACACTGATTTCATTTATTATAATGGAATGTCCATACGTGGATAAGTTTAACCTTTTAACAAAAAATAGCTTTAGTGGATTTCAGACATAAATGTGAGTAGCAAAATAATAAGCTTCTAGAACAGAAAATAGGAGATTATTTTCATGCTCTTGAGAATATGGAAAGATTCTTTTAAAAGACAAAAAGCACTAAAATGAAATAAAAGGTTGATAAAGTGGAATGTGCTAAAATTAGGAATTCCTATTGGTCAGAAGACATTATGAAAAAGATAGCTATAAAGAAGATGAAAATATTTTCAATACATTTATAACAGACCTCTTTTATCCAGAAAAGACAGATAATTTATTAAAAATCAGTAGGAAAAAAAGGACAGATATCCCAATAGATAAATAGTCAAAACACTTGAACAAATGCTTCACAAAAGTATAGATACAAAAGGCCAGAAAACACACTCTTGCCTGCATTTGCAGGCAAATGCAAAGCAAGACAATGCAAGAATGGCTAAAACCTAAATGACTAGCAACACTAAGTATTGTTAAAGATGCAAAACAACTAGGACTTGGATTCGGTGCAAGTAGAAGGGTGGTAAAATGACTTTGGAAATTAGCTTGGCAGTATGTGCTAAAGTTGGATGTATAAATATCCTATGACCTAGCATCTCCATATTTAGGTAGATCCTAGAAAATATATGTACTTGTGCAAGGAGAAAGCCCAAACAGCCATCACTAGTAGTGTAATTGTACAGTGGAATACTAAGAGACCATAAAAATATGTCTACAGCAACATATAAAAACCATGCACTAGCCAGTTGTTAGCTGGAGCTCCTACAGCCACACAGAATAGCATGGATGAATCTCATAAACATCAGAGTCACTTAAAGAAGCAAGACACAAAAGAAAATATGTTATAATAGCATTTTATATAATTTCCTTAGACAGGCAAAAGTAAACTCTGGTATTAAGACATAGCAACATTGTTTTATAATAACTAAAACCTGGAAATAAGCCTATTTTTTACTGACAGGGAATGGTTGAATAACTTGTATGTTCATGCAATGGATTACTTGATAATTGGAATGAACTAGCTTCAATATTCAGCAACATGGAAGAGTTTTAGAAACAGAATGTTGAGTGATAGAAACCAGACACAAAAGAATATATGATTCCACTTACATAAATTTCAAACACAGGTAAAAACTAAACTATAATTTTTTTTTTTGTTGAGAAAGCAGAATTTATTGAGAGGACAGAAAAGTAGTTGAGAGTGACATTGACTCTTGATGAAGAGTGTGTTTTTTTTAATTTAATTTAATTTTTTTCCCCCGTTAAGGATGTGTTTATTAATTTTGTAATTTACCAAATGGTTTTTGATTTGCTTACTCCTGTTTTTCCTCTGTTTTGTTTTAAAATCAGGGTTGGTTTTTAAACTATGTCAAATGCCTTTGGGTATCTGTGAAGATGATCATGTGCTTTTTTGCGTGTTGGACTACTAGTATGATGAATTGCATTACTGTACAGCTGATGTTGAATTGTCTGCATTTCTAGAATTGTTAACCTAGTGCTGACTTTTATTTGCTAAAATTTCTTATTTTTTATTTATTTACTTATTTCAGTAGCTTTAGAGGGTACGAATAGTTTTGGGTTACATGGTTGCATTGTATGGTGACAAAGAGATCTGGACTTTAAGTGTATTCACTCACCCCCACCTGTGCACATTGTACCCAGTAGGTGATTTTTCATCTCTCCACTCCTTCCTGTTTACCCCTTCTGAGTGTTCAGTGTCCATGATCTCATTCTCTTGGCCTTTGCAGATCGTTAGTTTAGCTCCTACTTGTAAGTGAGAACATGTACTGACTGGTTTTCTATCCCTAAGTTAGTTCACTTAGGATGATGTTTTCCAGTTTCATCAAAGTTGCTGCAAAAGGCATTATTTCCTTCTTTTTAATGGCTGAATAGTAGTCCACAGTGTATATATTTTCATTATCCACTGATACATTTTCTTTATCCACTGGCTGATTGATGGGCATTTAGGTTGATTCCACATCTTTGCAATAGTGAATTGTGCTGCGATGAACACGCCAGTGCAGGTGTCTTTTTTTTACTTGACAATCTTTGTTTCTTTGCATAGATACCTAGTAGTAGGATTGCTGGATCAAATGGTATAATGGTATATCTACTTTTAGTTCTTTGAGGTGGGCAAATGACATGAACAGGTATCTCTCAAAAGAAGATATACAAATGGCCAACAAACATGAAAAAATGCTCAACATCACTATCATCAGGGAAATGCAAATTAAAATCACTGTAAGATACCACCTTACAGCAGTCAGAACGGTCATTATTAAAAAATAAAAAACAATAGATGCTGACAGGGATGTAGAGAAAAGGGAACACCTATATACTGTTGGTGGGAATGTAAATTAGTACAACCTCTATGAAAATCAGTATTTGCTAAAATTTCTATAAGATTTTTATATTTGTAAGTACAAGTATGATTGGTCTGTGGTTTTCTATTATTATTTGTTAGGTTTTGGCTTTGGAAAAATTGGTTATATCAAGGGAATCTGGAACATTTCTGTGTATTCATGCATTTTACTGCATTTTAAAAGGCATTTTTGAGTGTATATGAGTAAATATGCTCGAGAAACACAAATGTCTGTGTAGCTGCCTAATATTCTTTGTCAAAGAGCTTTTGATTTTCTTTACCTCATTAAAGATCTCAAGTGTTTCTTATTAATTATGAAAGTTTTCAAACAGATAAAAGAGATTGGTATCATTTTGTATCTTTTACTTCACTTTGTTTTTCTCTATAGTATTTTGAATCTTGATTGTAATCATGTACATATAACTACATACATCCCATCACTGTTGCCATATTCTGTTGATTACAGGCAAGCCACAGGTCCTGTCCCTGTCAAGAAGAAGGTCTTCCCTTAGATTTTAAGCTATCATCAATAATATTCTGCTATTTGTTAATGTCTTTGAATTTTTAATCATTTGTTTTGGGTCCCAGGAAGGAGCTACAGAGTCAAAGGGTATAAGCTTTTTAAAGGCTTTAATGCCTATTGTCTAATTGCTTTTCAGAAAGCCAGAGCCTCTTTTGGTTATGTAGTAAACAGATGACAGCATTGACAGTCCATACACGTGCCTTTTCAGCCAACAAGAAATGCCAAGAATTATTAAACAATGAGAAAGCAGGAATGAGAACAAGACTAATAATTCTTGTCATTAATCACTTGAGTGATTATTACCTGAAAGCCTAAAGGTTATTTGAATTGATTTTCCATAGCTTAAAACTGTGGTTAGTTTTACCATTTCTTACTATAACTAGTGTGTCTGTGTCAAGATACTTTTGGGTTTGGCCTAACATAGTGCTACATTTTGTAAGGGAGAAAAGAGAAATCTGTCAATATCTCATGTGTCCTTCTGCAAGGCACATGAGAATCTTACAATATTGTTTACATTTTTTTCCATCTTTCCTGGAAGTATAACTTCAGTTTACAAAAAGTTCATGATGGGTTGCGTCTGACCTGGGTTTTCTCTGAGTTGAAAAAGCTTGAGAATCCTCCTAGGTTAATAGGTGACTCCCACCATAATAACAACAAAGTTGGTTTTCTCTTGTTTTAGCAACAACGCACTGTCTACAGACTGACGCTTGTGAAGGCGTGGAATGTGGATGAACTCCAGGCCTACGCTCAGCTCGTGTCCCTGGGAAATCCCGACTTCATTGAAGTGAAGGTAAATTCCTGCTGGCCTCGTTGGCCATGGTAGAGTTAAAAAATTCCTGATGCTTTGTTGGCTATGGTGGAACTAAAATCTATTTTTTTTGAGTTGGAGTCTCACTCTGTCACCCAGACTGGAGTGCAGTGGCCGCTCCCGGCCACCCCAGCCTCGACCTGCTGGGCTCCGGCGATCCTTCCGTCTCAGCCTTCTGAGTAGCCGGAATTGCAGGCGCACGCTACCACACCCAGCTGATTTTTTGATTTATTGTCGAGATGAGGTCTTGCTGCCCAGGCGGGTCTCGAACCCGCGGGCTCAGGCAATCCACTCACCTCAGCCTCCCAAAGGCGCAGGATTACAGGCTGAGCCACCGAGTCCGGCTGAACTAAAATCATTTAAAACTCTAAAGGAGGATCCAGGAATTTTATTTATATATTCATGTGGCATTATTCATCAAGAACCTTTTCTAGCCATTGGGAATAAGCAGTAAAGAAGACTAAGCTCTTGCTTTTATAGAGCTTTTATTTTAGTAGGAGGTAGACAATCAACACAAAATGAATAATTAAAAACTATGTGATGATATTAATATGCTGAGAAATAAAATAGTGTTATAGTGAGTAATTGATTGGCTTTTAAATAAACTTATTAAGGAAAATATCAAACCCAACAGAGAGAGCTTAGTCTAATGAACCTCCATCCACCCATCACTAACCTTCAAAAATTATCACCTCGTGACCCATCTTTCCAACTGTACCCCTGCCTATTTTTTCTGCTTTTAGCCCAGATTATTTTCAAACAACCCTTCAAAATTAAATTATTCACCCATCGCTAGTTCAGAATGTATCCCTAAAAGATATGTTCTCCTTTAAAACACTTATTCAGAGCCCTGGGCTCACACCCCCAAAAATTTGAACTAAAAAATGTTAATTCTTGGAACATGGAGGTTTTAAATGGTACTAATTGTTAGGTCACACTCCCAACAGGGGCCTCCAGAATGTTAGGTCAGACCTGTAGAGGTGTGGGTGTATGGTGAAAGATGCAAAGAACTGCACAGAAGTTAGATTAGAGAATATAGTTTATTTAGAAAGTGAATTAGAGAGAGAGAAGAGAGAGGAGATAGAGAGATTCACCGCCCCTCAGTAGGGGTCAGGGCCAAAGCTAAGAAACATGGCGGCGGTAGCTCAGAGGGCCATGTGGACACACCAGAGTTTAGCAAAGTGATGACGGATGTCTGCTTGAGGTTGAATTTTTTTAAACCTTCCCTTTGATGGAGGATAGTCGGTAAGGTGGTTGGGTAGTGGTTTCTCCATGTTATCATGGAGGGGAGGTACACACAGGTACTGATGTCAGGTGATGGACAGCAGGCAGATGGGTGGGTTAGTCACAAAATTGCTGCCATGGTGATGGGATCTGTCTGTGTCATGAAGGGCTGATTAGGTTAACTTGGGTCTTATAGGTGGAGGCAAATGCTTAAAATAGAAAAGCTAATTAGTACAAAACAAACTGGGGAGGGGAACTGTAAAACAATTATCAATAGTGACCTCTGAGAAACCAGTTCTGTCCTTAGCTAGTGATTAGAGGGTAAGTGAACTGCTAGAAAAACATGAGATTTTGGCAGTGTTGAAATGGCTGCTTGTTGGGTGAATTAAATCCATGTTATGACCTTTCACTAATTATTTTTTTTTAATTTAAAAAGTATCTTTGAATTTAAATCCAAATAGTGGCCATACATTGAAATTGGATTATTTTCTCTAAATTTCTTTTAATCTATCAGTTTCTCTTCCATATGTTTTCCCCCCCACCTTTGTAATTTATGTTGTTATAAAAAATGGATCATATATCCTGGCTGATTTTCTGTTTATATTTAAAATTTTGTTGATTGCATGTTCCTCTGCCTCCTAGATTTTCTGTGGATTTGTGCCTATAGTTGATCAAGAGAAGAGTGATTAGATTCAGGAGTATTTGTATGTGTGGGTGTGTTTGTTAGTATTTCAGGAATATTTAATTGGTGGCATTGTATACTAACATTAGGAAGCATATAACATCTGTTTTTCTCCTTTATATTTTTTGCCAATGTTCCTTTGGGGTGGAGTCCTATAAGTGGTTTGCTCAGTCAAAGGGTAAATGCATATTGTGGTTAACTGTTTTAGGAAAGCTTTTCTGAAGGAGATTACTTTTTTTTGTTCTAACCCATACCTAAATAGCTAAAAGCAACCCAATATGCAAAGGCTTGGGGTAAGAGCATTCTGGACAGATGGTGCAGCTAGTGCACAGAGGTCCCTATGTGATCCTGTGAGCGACTGAGACTGCAGTGACACAGGATAAGTCAGAGGAGTGGGCTGGGGGACAGGCTTTATTAGGCTTTTCAAGCAAAGATTGGGGAATTGGATTTTAAACTAAGTTTAATGGTAAGCAAAAGCTTTTTATTTTTAAATTTTTTTAAATAAAGGCCTTTATTATCATACAAACTAGGGCAATGGGAGGCCTGTGATTCCTACAGTTGGCAATCTGGAGGGCTCTTAAGCCCTAGTAAAGGGTTCTAAGCTGGAGAGTGATGTGATCTGATATGTGATTTTAAAAAGCCACTTTGCCACTGTGGCATGACTTGGTTATAGAGGACAGTAGTAGAAATAGGTAGAGCAGTTACAAAGTTATTGTTTAATCCAAGCAAGAGATATGGTTTTGGGAAGGTTAGTAGTGATATAGTTGGAGAGCAGTGGGTGCATTTAGGATATGTTTTGTAGGTGAAACCACTAGAACTTGTTGCTGGAGTAGATGTGGAGGGCGAAAGAAAAAAGGATCAAGAATAGCCCCTGAGATTTTGACTGATGCCATTGTGTGGAGAGTGGAACCGTTTACTGAGATAGAGAAGCCAGTGGAGGAAGGGAAAAAGATTGGAGAGAAATTTTGAGCTCCTTGTTAACCACGTTAAATTTGAACTGTCTTTTAATTATCCAAGAATAGATTCAAATAGGCCAAGATTATAACGCGAGCCTGACCTTTCAGGGATAAGAGAGGGCTGGAAATAAAGATTTGAAAGTACCGACTTTTTTTGGCAACTGAAAGTCTATAAAATGAGAGAAAGTGATGGGAAGATGTACTCTGCCTTCGAAAGCCAGCTCTACTCTTTATTTTATTTTTTTATTTTAAAGATATGGCATACAATTCAGGGTTAGGAATACAATTGTTCATTATACAGGTACCCTTGTTGATGAAGCGTTGCCCCCCTACTTTCCCTGGCAGTTTCCCACTACTGCCAGCCCCCCCCATAGTCTGTCTTATAAAAGATGTTTTTGAGTTGCAGAGCTGCCTTGTAGTATGTTCAGTTTTCTGTTGTACTATATTCTGGAGGAGTAGGGAGGTAGGAACAAATAACAAACTGCTGAGTGTGTAGCATTATCTCTGGTTAAGACACTCTTCTTTTGAAATTGCTTTCAATTTCAAAAGGCTACTCTTGGCAAGAGCTCTAATGATGCAAAGATACAAACTACAGCTGAAACTGTGCCAGCTTGAGAAAACTTTGCCAACATCAGAGATTAGTGGTGTTTTAATGTATGATTTAGCCATTAGAGATTGCTGCCTCAAATTATGTTGCAGTAAAACCTCTTTTATAATAAAGCAACTTGGCTGGATCACACCTTTTTATATTTCCTTCCTTTCTTTCTCCCTTCCCTCCTCCCACCATCTCTCCTTCTCTCTCTTTTTCCTTCCCTCCCTCCTTCCCTTACTCTTACAATTACGTTTTCTCTAAAGAATGAGGTAGTTTATAATCTGAAAAAAGTCAGCAAACACTATTTTTTTAAAGGAAGATGGCTACTTAGTTAACAGTGTAATTCTCTAATGGGTATTTATTTTAGTGAACTATTGACATCACCAGGAAATAGATGAAGCCTTCTGTGTATAGCTGAGATCTTATAACAAAGTTTTTATTTCACAGTTTCTACTCCACTAATTTATCCTTGTATTCAACAATCTTTTTGAACTCCCTCCATGTGCCAGGTTTCATTAAAGCACAATAGATTTTTTTTCTTTCAAGTTGGAGTCTCATTCTGTCACCCAGACTGGAGTGCAGTGGCCACTCCCGGCCACCGCAGCCTCGGCCTGCTGGGCTCAGGTGATCCTTCTGCCTCAGCCTTCCGAGTAGCCGGAATTACAGGCATGCGCTACCACACCCGGCTGATTTTTGGATTTATTGTAGAGATAAGGTCTTGCTTGCCCAGGTGGGTCTCGAACCGGCGGGCTCAGGCAGTCCACTCACCTCAGCCTCCCAAAGCGTGGGATTACAGACTGAACCACCGAGCCCGGCTAGCACTATAGATTTTTAACCAATTGATAATAAATGTGCTATTTAAGACATGAATGTTTTATTGAATTGGAAAAATTTATAAAAGTAAAATGAAAATTCTTGGAGAAATGTGTATCTAATCACAATTTAAGTAAATTTTTCTAGTAAATGAAAAGCCTACATTGTTTTTATTATATATATGTTCAAAATAAATAAACTTATTATTAAGATCTTTTAAAAAATACCAACAATAGTTCCTAGAATAATAGGAGAAAAGAAATAATGCAGACAAGAACAAAAGCACAAAATCAGCAGTGGGATCTTGGAAAACAGTAAAATAAATAAATAAGTAAATGTGTTTATTTAAGAGAGTACTGAATCTGATAGAATTTTACCATGTTTAAGAAAAACTACAGATAAATAAACCAAATTTAGAAATGCAAAACAGCAATGTATGTACTTCTGAAATTCAACATACAGTTCACGTTAAGGAATTACTTGTTCTGTGTTTTGGGCCCATAAGCTCTTCAGTCAGGATGACTTTCTTTTGTGTAGAGAATTTCTTTTTCTCTGTATCTCTCTCTCTTGTTTTAAATTTTAGATTTGGGGGCACAAGTACATGTTTGTTACATGGGCATATTGTGTACTGGTGGGGATTGGGCTTCTGGTATTCCCATTCCCCAAACAATAAATGTTATACCTGATAGGTAATTTTTAATCCCTTGCTCCCTTC